CCCGGGTCTCTCTCAAAGGTTGTTGTGAGGCCTCAGTGACCTAAAGTCTGAGGAGGCTTGGTCCATGGCTTGGCACGTTGACACATGTGACCATGACCTCTAAACAGAAGATTAAATCTGACACAAGGCGGGTGTGGAGGCAGCCTTGGGTGGGATGGGACATTGAGTTAGCACTGGGGAGGGGCCCTCGCACGCCCAGGCTCTTCCTGGACTCCCAAGGGCAAGGAGGGGAGCCCCGACTGTGTGGACCTGGGAACATGGGGCTCAGATGCATCCTCTGCTGGGACTGTGAGAGGCATGGGGTGGAGGCATACAGGGAACTGAGCTCCTGAACCCCTGGGTTCACAGCTCAGGTGAAGATCAAATACATAGCCCTAAACAGACACCGATCCTACCTTATGCTCAGTGTAGCGGGCTGGCAGAGAGAGGATAAGGCAGAGGATCAGAATAGGAGTAGGAGCCACACTGCCCCCTGGGGTCTACACCCCAGCCCTGACACTCAGCTTCCACTCCCATCATGATCAGTATCCTGATCAGGAAAATCACCAGCCTTCGACCATAAGGAAAAAAAACAGCAGCTCTGGGCATGGTGGCTTATGCCTGTAATGCCAGCACTTTGGGAGGCTGAGGCAGGCAGATCACTTGAGGTCAGGAGTTCGAGACCAGCCTGGCTAACATGGAGAAACCCCACCTCAACTAAAAACACAAAAATTAGCCAGGCATGGTGGTGCACACCTATAATCCCAGGTATGCCGGAGGCTGAGGCGAGAGAATCATTTGAACCCGGAAGCCTGAAGTTACAGTGAGCTGAGATTGCGCCAGTGCACTCCAGCCTGGGCAACGGAGCAAGACTCTGTGTCAAAAAAAAAGAAAAGAAAAGAAAAGAAAACCAGCGTACCTTCATATGAGCATAGTTAGAATTCCACAAGATAATGCTGGGTAAAGGGCCTGTCTGGACACTTACTGAGTGCTCAATAAACCTCAGCTGTAATTCTTTGTTTTTTCTTTTTTTTATAAATAAATAGAGACGAGGTTTCACCATATTGATCAGGCTGGTCTTGAACCCCTGACCTTGTAATCCACCCGCCTTGGCCTCCCAAAGTGCTGGGATTACAGGTGTGAGCCACCACGCCCGGCCCTCAGCTGTAATTCTTAGTTGTTAAGGCTGCAGTGGCTTTATGCCCAGAGCAGCACAGGAGCCCAGAGGAGCAGCACGCCTAAGCCAGCCTGTGGGGAAGAGACTGGGGAAGCCTTCCTCAAGGGATCAGACCCACGCTGAGTCTTCAAAGAAAAGTAGAGCTTAACTTAAAAAGGGAAGGGAGATGCAGGTGAAGGAAACAGAATGAGAAAAGGCATGGAGTTGAGGCTGGAGGCCGGAACTTGTCTGCAAGGATTCGAAGGTTGGACTGATCTATCCTTTTGGGGGGATAGGTATCAATATCCTAATTTCATAGACCAGGAAACATTCTCAGAGAGAGTCACTTGACCGCAGAGCGGGTAAGGATCCTCCGTTACTTCTTTGAGTTACAGAAGAGGAAACTGAGACTCAGAGAGGGCAGTGTCTTGCCCAAATTGCACAGCAAGGAGAGAGGAGTAGAGGTGGGATTAGAACCTTGGTCTCCTGTCCCTCTTCCCAGTGTTCTTTCTATGCCATCTCACCTCCTCCCAACCCCACACACTTCTTCCCTCCCACTGGGAGCCCCAGCCTCCATCTGCCCTCACTTTCCTCACCCGCAGATTCTCTGCTGACTTGCAGATGATTCTGGGAAAAGTTTGCAGAGATTCCAGCTTTTGTGTCCCCCGAGAGTAAGATTAAATCCACACAAAAGAAGCGTTAGTCAACAGCCTGTGCTCCACCTCTCCCCAGCTTGGATCTCCGCCGTATTCCTGCGAAGACCAAAAACTTCTTTCCTGCCAGCACCTGTGGAGGCTGCGCTCCCTCTTCCCACTCTCTGTGCCTGCCCTATTTCTCTGGACTGTGCTGAGAATCTGGGGGAGTGGAGGGGGACCAGCAGAGAGAGCTGGAGACTGTCACTGGGGAAGGACAGAAGCCTTTTTGGTAGAGGAGTTGGCAGAAACTTCTGGCTCTGCACATTTTGAAATAACAATAGCAGTAATATGTGTGAAACTACCCAGTGATAGAGGTGACATATGTTCTGTCCCTCCCCTGCAGAAAACTCAGGAATAGTCCCCTGTGGTTGTCCCCTCCCCTCTCAACATGTCGGCCACAAAAGCTCAGGATCGCACCAGCAGGATGCTGTTATCGGAGCGACGTTGGACTTTCCAAGTATGTTCATTTACGTTTGGGTTTTGTGTTGGAGGGACCCCCTAAATAGGGTGAGGAGGGGGAATTGGGTGGGGAGAAAAACAAAGCCACACAAGCAACTTTGGTCAGGGAGGCAATGCTCCTTCCTTAATTAACATGGTGACAACATGAAGAAAACAGGCTTGGGGGTGGCTTGGCTGTGGCTCACACCTGTAATCCCAGCACTTTGAGAAGCCTAGCCTGGCAGGTTGCTTGAGCCCAGAAGTTCGAGGCCAGCCTGCGCGACTTGGCGAAACCTGGTTCCTACAAAAAATACAAAAATGAGCTGGATGTGGTGGCACACGCCTATAGTCCCAGCTACTTGGGGGGCGGGCTGAGGCTGGAGGATCACTTGAGCCCAGGAGGTTGAGGCTGCAGTGAGCCAAGACTGTACCAGTGCACTTCAGCCTGGGCAACATAGTGAGATCCTGTCTCAAAGAGAGAGAGAGAAAGAGACAGAGAGAAGAAAAAGAAACAAGGCTTGGCCGGGCGCGGTGGCTCACGCTTGTAATCCCAGCACTTTGGGAGGCCGAGGCGGGTGGATCATGAGGTCAAGAGATTGAGACCATCCTGGTCAACATGGTGAAACCCCGTCTCTACTAAAAATACAAAAATTAGCTGGGCATGGTGGCACACGCCTGTAGTCCCAGCTACTCGGGAGGGTGAGGCAGGAGAATTGCTTGAACCCAGGAGGCAGAGGTTGCGGTGAGCCAAGATCGCGCCATTGCACTCCAGCCTGGGTAACAAGAGCGAAACTCTGTCTCAAAAAAAAAAAAAGAAACAAGGCTTGGCCAGGCACAGTGGCTCACACCTGTAATCCCAGCCGTTTGAGAGGCTGAGGCAGGAGGGTCACTTGAGCCCAGGTGTTTGAAAACAGCCTGGGCAACATAGCAAGACTCTGTCTCCACAAAAAATAAAAAATGAGGGGAGTATGGTTGTGCACATCTGCAGTCCTAGCTACTTAGGAAGCTGAGGTAGGAGAATCCCTGGAGTCTGGGAGATGGAGATGGAGGCTGCAGTGGGCTATGAACATGCCACTGTACTCCAGCCTGGGCAACAGTGTGGCAGTGTGAGACCCTGTCCCCCCAAAAGAAGCAAAAAAGCAAAGAAGGAAGGAAGGAAAGAAGGAAGGAAGGAAGGAAAGAAAAGAAAGGGAAGAAAGGAAGAAAGGAAGGAAAGAAGAAGGAAGGAAAGAGGAAAGGAAGGAAGAAAGGCTAGCAGGTCTGGTGGCTCAGGCCTATAATCCCAGCACTTTGAGAGGTGGAGGTGGGTGGATCACCTGAGGTCAGGAGTTTGAGACCAGCCTAACTAACATGGTGAAACCGCATCTCTACTAAAAATAGAAAAATTAGACAGGTGTGATGGTGCATGCCTGTAATCCCAGATACTCAGGAGGCTGAGGCAGGAGAGTCGCTTAAACCCAGGAGGCAGAAGTTGCAGTGAACCAAAATCATGCCACTGCACTCCAGCCTCGGTGACAGAGCAAGACTCCATCTCAAAAAGAGAAAAAATGAAGAAAGGCAGGCAGAAAGGAAGGAAGGAAGAAAACAAGCTCTCTCAGGGTGTGTGTGTGTGTGTGTGTGTGTGTGAACTTCTTTTTCCTGATTACTCAAATAACACTTGCTCATCATAGAACATTTGGAAAGGAGAAAAAGAAATGTTATTCATAACCTTACCTCCCAGAGGCAATCATTTTACAATTGTGATGCATTTTTAAGAAAAAACATTTTTTTAAATTACCACCCCACCTCAAACCGTGTTTAATTTTTCTGTGTCCCCTGTGGTCTTTATCTACGTGCAAGCATGCT